CTGCACCGCATTTTTACATGACTTTCTTTAGTTGCTTCCTTCATCGTAGCATCTTTATGGTATGGAAACAAACGGCATGCACATGATCAGCATGACAACACTGTTCAACGTTTTTCGTTTGCACTTTCTTCCCACTGTTTTTTTGTAAGCTTTAATCATTTAACAAATAGCTCGATTTAAGCAAGGCATAAGCTTACGCGCCATGTAGCGTCTGTCATCACGCACTCTTTATATGTATGTATGTATGAATATACATTTGTAAATACCCTGCAAAAAATGGGACTAATCCGGGATGACTCCGGGAGCAATCGCAAAGGAGCATGCGACTAATACCACTTTTGATCTCTTTATATGGAATGAACTGTTCGCTTTTGTTCGAGCATGTCCTATGAAGAGACTAATTGTTCACCTTTATACCCGAATGGGTATAAAAAGCAACTAGTCACTTTTAAAAAATAAAAATAAAAATTTGCGCCAGCTGAGATTCGAACTGGGGTGCTCAGTTTTGTTAGGCGAATACTCTCCCTGCGTGCCAACGCCGCACATGCAATTGTATTGACTAAGTCCGTGCATATCATTAAATCGTTAATAGTACCCGTTAGCGTTGAGTTAGGGACTAATTGATCTCCAATTATACCCATAAGAGACGAGTCGAGACTAATTGATCCCCATTAGTACCCGTATGAGACTAGTTGGAACTAATTAATGCCCAATTGTACCCGATTGAGAGTAATCTCGGAATACTCTCTTTAGAGATTAGTCGCACAATTTTTTGCAGGGTATGTACATATGTATGTATGTATTTGTACTTACAGTACACTTGTCACGAGTTTTCCGGTTGACCGCTTGCAGCCTCATGTTGTTGCGAATACGCGTGTGGTATACAAAGGTGTTTAGTCTAGTAAAAAAAATAATAATAATACAGTGGCTCAAATAAGTGTTCATATGTTGGTTTTTTTGTTTTTTTAAATTCCTAATGTTTTTCCAGTTTAATTTTTTTATATATGTATGTTTGTAGAAACATTGCTGATGATTCAACAAAAACCATACAAATCACAGTTTCAAACTTTATTAAAATTTTCAACAATAAATTTTAAATTTTTTAATAAAAGTTTCTATTGAATTTTTGGGTATGCAGTTTTATAGCCCATACAATTTTAGTAGAACAAATTGCAAGTTTCAATCGCCTAAAAGGTGCCGTTCATTTTTAATAATTTTTTTTTAACAGATTTTGGCACTTTTTTCATAAAAACATGAATTTCTTATGGAATAAGCCAAAAAGTGTTAAAAAATCAGCGGCTGTTTTAATAAATTACGCTTGTCATACTAAAAGCTGTCAGCCAAAAAATGATAAAAAAGCAACGCAATTTTTTAGCCGGGTGCAACTTGGACTTTAATGCCTTATGCGCTACAAAATTGTATAGCCAAAAATTTTCTAAATATTCGAATTAAAATGTGTAAAATTTTTATGAAAATTTCTTGAATTTTTCGAATCACTGTATGAAGTTTTAAACTCGGAATAACAAGGTTTTTTGGTTAAAGCGCGAACAATGTTTTTCTATAAAAAAAAAGAAAAAACAATAACAAAAAAAAATAAAAAAATATTTAAAAAAATATAAAAAAAAATCACCGTGTGAATATTTGTTTGAGTCACTGTATATATGTACATATGATTATATGAATATACATATGTACATATTTACAAACGTATTCATTCACCTACTTTGTGACGTCATATTGTTTTCGTTTCCCTCCTTTTCGCTACATGCAAAAAGTAACAATTTTCTGAATGTTTGTTGTTAGGGAAACATAGCCGGTTCCTCGTCTTGTGGTAAACGGGTTTTGACACGCGTCGTAGCCATGCGTAGTTTAGAATGATGTAACGACACTACTAATATTAATTTATTTATTAATTACACTGGTCTGCACACAAAACTTAGCTATGCAATAAATTTGTTCAGCATCGAAGTTCTCAAAAGTAAGCCGGCGATTAATCAGTTGACGCGAAGTATCTCCATCACTTTGAGAAGCAACGATGATAGACCTCTGGCTCCGAAACCTTCTGTCTAACTGAATTCCGGATTTAACAAGCTCCGCATTAATGTGACATTTAGTATTGTAGCTACGCGATTGATATCCACAGTTACTTAACCATCTGCTGACGAGTTTCGCTGAAGAAAAAAAATTTTTTTTTTCAAATTTTCATTGAACTCCACACAAGACAAGTGCTGCACCTCAGACGAAAGAATTATTACATTTTAAGTAATACCTCATCATCGACAAATTATTTGATGCTGTTTGGAGAATAAAAGGCTTCCTTAGAAGATATTCCTATACACGAGGGTAGGTAATATATGTACATATAATAATAAAGCATAAATAAATAAAATACAGTAGAGCGACACTCTGGCATTATCACGTCGAGTTTATGGTTGGTTTAATCGTTCTGATGGCAAATCCGTATTGGTCCCTTTTGTATATGCCATACAGTGCATCCATCCATTGAACAAAGTAATCGATGCATTCACTGTTAAAGAAATTTCAATTTCCAACGGTTTCTTAGATAATCATTCCTACAGAACTTAAGTGTAATGTCATAAATATTATCCATTATCGAGCATATTCTGTAGTGAAGATATTATTACAGCAGCAAACCGTTATATCAACATTTCCAAAATACTCGTAGCTTCTAACTACGTGTATTAAAAGCATTTTTTTCTCTCAAATCAACAAATGCACCTATTGTTACTTTCACCGTTAGTGATTACCACAAGAACCATGCCATAAATACCTGTACAATGAAACTGTTAAATGCTGTTATAAAATATTTATATGCAACATAAATGTCATACACTTACATTGACCATGACACCGCAGATCTTCCGCTTGAGGTCAACGTTGAAAAGCTTTCATAAAGACACTCTCAAACAATGCTCTTCAAACGAAAACAATAAAGTGTGTGATAAACGTGCACTTACTCGTATCTACGTACATATGTAAACATGACTTTACCTGCAGGAAATTTGAAACTGGCATTGTATAATAAGTAATTTTTTGTAAAACTTTGGAGAGTTTTTAATTTAAAAAGCTTTCATCAAGTGGATCATCAAGTATCGGCTTACCTTTATTAAATATTTGTTTGTATAAGCAGGCATTCAAGGGCAGCTTTTAAAATAAAAAAAAATCGAAAAATGCATATAAAAGGACACACTAGAAATGGAAAAGATATTTTTTCAGGCAAAATTTCTTAAGTCGGTTTTCATCTGTCAAGAAAAAATTTTCGCATAATAATTTCTTCAAGAAAATTTACAGCAAAAGCGAAGTACCCTTTCAAACAACAGAAATGATGAAAAATATTTCTTGTCATTTTTCTTGAGAGCTGCAAACAGCCCTTTAATAATAAGTTTAAACCAGTATGAAATTTTTTCAAATTTCATTTGTTCAATAGAAACCCGTACTAGCTGTATCATAATATCAAATTTGTTACATATACATTAGAGTGGTCCAGAAAAAAATCTTCCAATATAGGGTTTGGCACCAAAATTTTTCCTCTTGCGGAAAGAGTTGCTTATACCAAACTTTAAGCTTCTAAATAATAAATAAAAAGAATGCTCATAACGCTCATATTTTACTCTAGAAGAATTGTGTGCATATGTACATTAATCAAACAATTGGTTAAGCAACCTAAAAACATTTCAAATTTAAATTATCTAAGAAAATATCACAAGCTTCAGTTGTCATGGCAACAGTAACTTTTTATAAAAATCACTAATATTTCTTCCATTTTCACAGCGATCCAGTAACGCATTTCAAGGTCATTGAGCACCCTGTATTGGTTACAGTAGAAAATTAAAAGTTGGCACAGATATTACAAATAACAAACGGGAAAAATTTAGCGCGTGCTCCGTTTTCTAGGATCAAATTTTTATCCCCCATACAAAAATTGTACCGCTCTAATATACATAAATATGTCGATATATTTTTGAACAAAGGGTCTCTAGAATTTCCTGCAGGGTTTGCTAATCCATTGCATGTGTTTTAAGTCATCGTCGCTTGCGTCTTCACTGCGTAGACAATTGCTTGCTTTTGTCTATCTAAATCATGCTTAGCTAGTAACATTGTATTCCCATGCCGAGATTTTTTGGCTATGAATGGGTAGAAGTGTGGACGATTGTTACGTTATTTCTTGTAACAGTTAGACCTTTTGTACTAATTACAACAGCTGCTAAGTTGATTACGACTACTTAGCAGTTGCTCACGTGTATTATATAATTTAATTTTTTTTATATAAGCGTTTGCCTGTCTAGCCAAATGTGGCAGTGCATTTCTATTATTTAGTCTGGCCAATAACCCGAAAATCAAAAAAAAAAAAAACAAAAAACAAAACACAAAACAGCGTACTTACATGAACTTCATTAAAATGGCAGTAAACCGTGAAAAATTTTCCAAGCTTCTGTATAAATGAAATTAATGTTAGGTGGTGTAACAGGTACTTTTCTCAGACGAACTTGGGTGAATCACAAATGTTCCATTCTCTATACAATTACAATTTGTTCTTGTAATCACTATGAAATATATCTTCGGGTGCAAAACACTCAGGGATGGTATCGCAATGCATGCTTACTTAACTGAAAAGTTCGTAGATTTTTCGTTTTTCGCTCATCTATTTTTAATTCCTCACACAAGCATTTAAAATTTGAAAAAAAAAAATTAGTTTTTCAGTAAAAGCTGGTGGTTGTGTGCCCAGAATTGCATTCTCAGGTCTGGAATCTACGTAACTTGAGACTGATAACCTGTGAATGCCGCCCAGGACCTGTCGATATGCTGACGGATCCAGAGGTTGCTTCGACCGTCAGTTCGTATGGATGCCTGCTTATATTTTTGGACTTCTCCTTCAATATTTCTGCAAACCTAGAACTTTATCTGAATCCATAACTAATAATTAAATGTTCCAACTTTAAGTTAAACAAAGGAAATTCTATATTTTTTTTACAACAATTCACACAATTTTAAATATATAAATACAATAAATAAATACTATAATGACCAAAGAGTCCAATGCAGGTCTCTTACAAGTTAGAATTTTCACCTTTTCACTTTCTAGTTCTACTTGCCGAACGAAAACTGTTTACCCAAGCGTATCCATTCCAATATGTATTCGTTCCTGTATTCTGGTTGTAAGGATTATATTGATTGTAGGGATTATATTTATTATACGGATTGTATATGTTGTAGGGATTACTATTCGTATTATATAGATAACTGTAAGGATTATTGTTATTATTATTCCAATAGTTTGGGTAATTGGGGAAAGCATATTGCCCAATGACCCAAGGCCGAATGCGTATATTTTGTCCATACCCGTTATACGGCGTACTGCTTAGCTGCGAAAATTGTGGTAGTGGTGTAGCGTAAGGATCCACATATTGCGCTGCTGTCAACTGTGAAAGAGAGAGAATATGGAAAATTTACTTAATGCGGTTTGTGAATTTCGCTAATATTTATTGCGTTTAATTACCGAAAGTGCAATGGCATTTATGCACAAAAAACAGAAAAGCAGAAATTTCATTTTTTTTTTTACAGTTTTAGTTCAAAAATTTTAATATTTATTTTATGAGTACGAGTACTTTAACTGCGCTTAGCTCTGACTCTGACTACTCCAATTGTTGTTCACACTTCCTCTGTTGAATGGAATTTGTATATGCCGCACACAATTTTCAACGCTTAAATAGCATAAGGTGTTTTAATTTTCCCCTAGATAAAAAAGCGTGAAAATTTTTAGGTTTTTTACGTATGTATATAGAATTTTACGGGAAACTAATATGTATGTATGCGCCTTTGTGTGAAATGAGTTTAATTGGACGCATTCGTCATTGAACTTGACTGATTATTGAGCACTGCTACAAACATATATATGTATGTATGTATGATGTATCTAGGTATGCAAATGTAAAAAAATATATACATACATAAGTATGCAATGGGATGTACCCAGACTATGAAATTTGTTTGAAAAGCATGGTGTTTAAATTTTGATGAATAATCGTAAAGCTACTCAATCGAAACGTTAATTTAAGGACATAAAAACACAAAAACAATTTGAGTTTTTAAGTGCGGGCTTAACTTCATTTGCTGTAATTTACAATAAATTCAAATAAGTGCGTACATATGTATGTACACATACTTATATATGAATCGGTTAATTACCAAAGGAAATAAGTCAGAATATTTTCGATATTGCATATTTGATGCAATTCAACAGAGCTACTTTGAACAAACCGAACTGCATCAAAATTTTCATATCGAAAAAATTTTGATTTATTGCCTTTGGTAATTAACTGATTCATATGTACTTATTACAGTTACAAGCTTAATTTATGTTTACGAATTTGTATTTAAAATTAATCGGCCAGTTTTTAACTTTATCGGTGATGTTTCATTTTGCTTACTGTTTAACTAATTCAATATATTAAATTGTATATCCACATATATGGGACGTTCCACACCAAAATGGACGGGGTTCACACTTCATGTGTTTGATTTGTTTCAAATTTTTAGGGTTGATTGATTAACATATATAATAAATAAATATGAAGCTTGAGCTTGATTAATACATTTTTAAAAACTTTTCAGCACAAAAACAAATCGATTTAATAGTTTTCCAAATATCTCAGGAATGGGCGAAGAAAAAATTTGAAAAAAATTAAACATACACACATCTAAATTCTCTATGAAAAGAAGTATTTTTTTAATTTTTTTTCTTGAAAAATTTTTCACACACATTTTTTGATAAAAAAAATTAGTTTTTGAAGATATGTCATCTCAAAAAAAAATTAAAAAAAAATCGCAATGGTAGCTCTAAGTATTGCGCAATATTTAAGTATAGTATTGCGGGATGCACTCAAGTTATTTGAGTTTTGAATTTTTTTTTACACCGAAATTGAGTATTACACACTTACCAATTTTTTTAATTTTTTTAGAATTTTTTTGAGTATGTAGTTTTGTAGCCCATTAAATTTTTGTATAACTTCAGTGTAAAATAAAATAAAAATCATAACTCAAATTGTTGTAGAGTGCATAGATGGCATATTTTCAAAAACTAATTTTTTTATCAAAAAATGCGTATGTGAAAAATTTTTCAAGAAAAAAAAAAGTTTTTTAATATTTCTTTTCATAGAGAATTTTTATTTGTATTGAATATTTTGAACATTTTGAATATTTTTCTCACCCCGTTCTCGAGAAATCGATTTGTTTTTGTTTGTAAAGTTTAAAAAGTGCATTAATCAGGCTCAAATTTCATATTTGTTTATTATTTATGTATGTCCGTCAACCTTAATAATTTGAAACAAATTAAGCACATGAAGTGTGAATCCCTTCCATTTTGATATGGAACTCCCCATATACATAATAACAGTATTTATCGATAAATTTTGTACTAAAAACTTTTAATTCAATTCAATCATTGCTAAGATGATGTGTACAGAATAACGGTCGGCCTGCTCTGCATGGCATAGCAATTGATTTGGAAAGGTTTTCAGTACTACAATGGGGGTACTGATGTTTCGGAAAAATGTTTATCAGGTTGATTCTCAACAGAAACTCCCCAGGGAGTTTCTCTCTTTTCCCTATCCTCCTATCTAGGTTAAAAATTTGCTGAGAATTTTTTATATTAAATGGCGGAGTTGAGCTGTCCAAACAGTGTCAAACAGCTCTCTCAAAGTTAGAATTTCCTCCTCCCAAATTTCCGGGGAAAATGCTACTCCCTGGGAGTTAGTTATTGGAGTACTTCTTTCACGGGAGAAACAAATTCCCGGACAACAAAGCTCACAATTGAGCTGTATATGAATATAAGCATATAAGAAAGTCTTTTGAAATGGGTACATTTTGCACTGGCTTATTGTTGCCACCACAAAGCATCTGCACTATCAAGTCCAGTTTCTAAACCTTCGTTAATACCACTCATATGTGTAATAACGGTTTAAATGACTAATTTACTCGCTTAAATCGAGAAAAGCAGGAAATTTCTAGTGCAACTCGCATAAAATCTACTTCTTGAGCGATTTGACCTAAAGCTGGGGATTTTCAGACATTTATTTGTAGGTTCTGAACAATTAAAAGCAGCACAACCAATGAAAGCAAACAAAATGTTGATGCCTTGGTGCAATATTTTGTGTTAATCTAATTTCGTCTGTGTAAAAAATGCTCACCTCTTAAAATTATTTTAATGATCAGTACTGAATAATCCTTTCTAATATTATAAATGCTAAAGTGAGTTGGCTTGTTTGACACGCTTTCACGCTTTTACTATTCAACCGATTATAGTGAAATTTCGCACACTGGTGTCACTTAGCCAAACTTAGATTATCGGTCTCGATTAGCCAAATGGGCGTGGCACGGAACTTTTTATACCGCATACCCACGACCACCAGACAGTCCGAGTCGTGTACAACGAATGCATAATGGACTTAGCTCATCGATATTGTTATGCTTATGGTCTTTTGTTCAACGTCCGGTGAACACAAACAGAAGGTAAAAGTTCCGGTTAAATATAACGACAAAATGTGGAATGCAAGATGTCGAAAAAGTCGATAATGATGTTTAGCCGAAACTAGGTTAATAAGGGTCTGGCATATATAGCTGTTAGCTGCGATTTGATTGCGTCAAGAGAGCAGCGACAACATCGAACAAATCATGTTTTTTTAAAATGGCTTCAAAACTTTTGTTACGCTATTTCGATAGGGCTTATTTCCATTACCACTTTTTTGATAACCAAAACAGGGCCAAATTGCCGCCACTCTTTGGAACCGGACTCAACAGAACCGATCACTTGTGTCTAGTAAGGACAAAGATATTTCTGGAATGGACCATTTGAATAAAAAATTTTGATAGAACTGGGTCAATATTTTGATAAAAGATAAAAGATTTGATCGGAACGAAATCAAAGTACAAAATAAATTTTAGCGAAATTATATTTTTGGTCGAATTGGAACATCTGTAAAATTCTTTAAAAAGTCTCAAATAAATTTCCTTCAATAAGTTGGTTAACTGCACTACCACCTTTAGTATAAAAGAGGCCAAGTATACCTTTCTGCTCTAACTAGGGCACGGTTGCATTGTACCAGATTTACTTATAATATTTACACACGAATTTTGAGATGGAAGTTTTCAATCAAAAAAAAGAAAAAGTTAAAATAAAAAGAAAAATTAATTTGCCCTAAATAGGACAAAGCTGTTAGTATGGTCAAACACTTATCAAATAATCAAACTATAATCAAACAATAATTTTCACCGAATTTTCACAGCTTTTCACTTTTAAGTAATTTACTTGCATGACTAGCGTATCTCCTAACTAGGGAATCACCAAAGCAAATTGTCACATTAGTCATCTATGTATGCTATTTGTCAAACTTGCAAATTTTCTTCACTAATTTAATTTATACTTAATTCGTTTTATTTCGCAAACAATCAGTTGTGAAATATTAATGCGGCCTAATTTCATTTAATATATGTACACTGATTAACATCACACGTACACACACATATATATAGGTATGTAAATAAATTTTCCCGCATCATACTTAAACCTTTTGTATTTCACACAAAATTGTTCGTTCAATTTAAATGCTTAAAACAAACCATTAGTCACAGATCGATGATTTGAAATGTGATTGTCAACAGACGCATATCAGCGTACAATTTGAAATCAGCAGATGTGCAATGTGTTTGTGGAAGTAATCGCGCCGTTGGATCACCAGTAAAAATTATCCAACAAAATGAAAGTGGGGGTGGGTTTTAAGGACTAGAGTATCTACTACTACTGAATGAAAACTCTGAGCTTTTGAGGAAAAGTGGAAATGTTCCAAAAATTTTGAAGATAAATAATTTTAACGGTTAGATTGGCAACTTTTAAGATTATGTGCAACTTGTCCATTTCAATATTACTAACCGAATATGGGAACGAAAAAAATTGTAAGCGTGGATAAAAAACCAAATACATAAGGGTCATTCCATACGATATTTACACCTCATTTTTTTTTTGGGTTAAAATATATTTTTTACATTCTTTATCGAAAAAAACAAAATACCTATTTATTATTTTATTTCGTCACGATATTCGAAAATCGCGAAAAAAATTCCCGAAATTTTGAACCCTCGGAGAAGTATCTTTTTTCAATTGTTTGCAGTTAAGGTAGCAAAATGTGCGTAATTACCTCGGCTTTCCATGAGAGTATGATATAGATTCAAATAAAAAAAATAAAATGTTGCATTAAAAAATCGAATTTTTTATTTTTTTTTAACTGCATCACGTTTGATTTTTATTTTTTTAAACCTGAATAGTTGTCAATTTTTATGGAGTACGCTGTAAAAATTTGAGAATGGAAACACCTAAACTGTAGAAGTTACGAATTGTTTCATACCTGCATACATAAAATTTAGTATAAACGCATATATTTGGTAAAAAATTAGTTCAAAATTTCGGGAATTTTTTTCGAGATTTTCGAATATCATGACGAAATAAAATAATAGGTGTCTTCCTTTTTCGATAAAGAATGTAAAAAAATATATTTCACCCCCAAAAAAAAATATTGAGGTGAAATATTGTATGGAATGACCCATACACAAGCATTGAAGCGAATCTACTACGATCGGCAAGAAGCTATCAGCAGTTTTTCCCCTCTAGAATTAGTTGCGTATTTTAGTCGCATTTTACAAGGGACAGCACTTCTGCAAGAGGACCATTAGAAGATTCTCCTTTATGGAATAACAGTATGGTGGCCGAACGACGAACAACGTCAAATGATACTTTAAATTAATTTTGGATCTTCGGCCAATAGATCTAGTGGATCAGCAGATGGCATCTCTTGCTGCACTTTGGTTAAGAGAGTTACGGCAATGGGAATCGGGATTGCAGGGTCACTCCTGCATTCTGGAAAAATGGTGTTGAAACTCTGGTTCCGGAAAGAAACTGCATCTGGAGAACCCCAAGCAGGGAGCAATGGGTAGAAAACTACTATACTCAATCCCACTAGTATAGTAATTTTCACAAATGATTCGCAAATTAACGATAGAGTGGCAGTGGGGGTCTTCTCTCGCAGCCCTACCCTAAGCCGTTCCTTACACCGACGCTCCTGCTCTGAAAGTATTCAGCTCGGAACCCGGTGGTGGAAGCAGAGGAAGAGGCAGGCCCCCACTGCGATGGAAAGACCAAGTGGAGAAGGACTTGGCTTCACTTGGCATTTCCAATTGGCGTCAGCTGGCACAGAAAGGAAACGGCTGGCGTGCTTTGTTGAACTCGGCCAAAATCGCTTATGCGGTTACAGCGCCAAATAAAAATAAGAAGAAGAATAAAAAGAAGAAAGGATTTTTGGTCCAGGTCATCAGATTTTAGATATAAAATTAACAAGCTTAACCTGTTGATGTACAGCCCCGTTTTTTGTTTTTTGTTTTTTATTTACAACTTTTTTAGCGGTAAGGGGTGATGCTAAATTTGAAAAACCGAGACCATGCGAGACATCTCTTCACTCAGAAAGAGATGGACGCATTTTGATGAAATGTGATGCACTGATCGCCTAAAACCCCATACAAGGATGTCACCTGTGTTAAAATTAAATAAAATTTAGGCGTTTTAACGCCACGCGGGTTTACTAGTAATTTTTAAAAATTTATTGGATTCACTCGAAACTTGTTACTCGGGGGTTTTTGCTAATATTGAGGAGTTTTTATGGTAACTGAATTAATAATTTCTAAAATAACACGATTGAACATCATAAACTTCACTACTATTTAGAAAAAACAATAGATAAAAACAAAACCTAGGGTGCTGGATACGTCTCTAGGCAATTCCGAAACTTTAAGGTATTTTTGGTACATACACGACCTTAGCTTTTACAAGAGTAAAATGCAAAAATTTGCCATTCAAGTACCTGTCTGTAACTCAATTGTAAAATTAGAATGCAGTTTAGGTACTAAATTTACAAGCTTTGCGGATAACTGTAGTTTTACAATATTTTATTACTATATTTTTTTATTTCTTTCACAATTTTCATAAACAAATTTTGTTTACTTGTTTTAACGGCTGCTGTTGCTTAAAAAAGGCAGTTGATATCAAAATAACAACAGATTCATATGTACAAATAAATGATAAAATCGCTTTAAAATCAACTATGTATATAATTTACAATTAAAACTACGTCATCTACGAATGTATTTACTTGTATATACAATTACATATGAACAACTACATACATACGTATGCATATACATATATATATATATCAAAAATTATTATTTCATTAAATTTTAAATAAGAAAATTCGTTAGCGCTAAAACTCCATTAATTACACACATATTTACTAAAATTACTCGAAACGAAATTGGCTGCTTCGGAATCTCATCGATTAAATATACATATATCTAATTCGTACATAAATATGTACGCTTAGTTTAGAATAAGTAGTTTTACCGTAACAAATTAGATTTAATTACAATAATATAAATACAAATTCGCTTAACTATTTATTTACTTGTCAGTAAGGTCACTCAGAGTGATTGGAAGAAGCAGACGATTAGAATGATTGGGAGTGGATAGGTTGGTTGGTGGTGCTATTCAATAGTCTTCATCTTCATCGGGTGGTTCCGTGGCATACGTCAGCTCGTTCAGATAAAACCATTTCTATAATAGAAAATGGAGAAGTCATTTATTTAACAAGAACTTCTTATAGCATATCAATTTCGTTTACCGGTGACTCTGTACAATTGAAATTGTAGTCCCAATCACAGATGCGATACTCCTGATTGAAAGAAGTTTCGTTGGCGCATAAATGCGGTATGCGATTGCCCTCCTCATCGCACATGTGGAAAATCTATTAGCATAAAGGGGAAAAACGAACGCGTTAGCAAAAATTTAGTGCATACTTTTAGGCTTAAAACAAACATACATACAAAGCCGCGCTTTCAAATTAATTAAACTTTCAACTACTCTTGCTCTTTGCTTAGCGTGAGCATAAAATGCGCTGAACTCTCTTATTTTTCTTACATACACACACAGGCACACACACGCATTAACAATTGTGAGCTGTTTTAATTTTGTTTCTCTTTTCATTTTATTCCTCGCCTTTCATACAGACACACACTCACTCACCTGACAATTGTACTCCATGTCAGCGTAGAAGCCAACCGGCCGATGCGTACAATCAAAAGAGAATGTTATGTTATCTAAATTCGTCCACTCTTTCGTTTTGTGATTTTGAAATACTGGACTGGCGGCATCTTGTAACGTCAAGGCTGCAAGTAGAATTGGACCTGTGCACATGCAGCAGATTTTGTCACAGATACGATACAAATAATTTTGTTAATAATTACTCGTCGATATTTACAAGTTTTTTTTTTTTGTACAAGTAGTTAGTTGGCTGTTTTTGGTTCGGTTGTTTTCCTTTTTTTTTTTCTTGCACTTACAGCTATTTGAGGTTAATTAGTGCTTGCGAAAATATATATACCAAAAAAGTGTTATTTTAAATGAGCAAAGGTTAGTTAAGGTGTGTCGGTTGTTGATATTTAAGTATTTTAGTAATGAGTGAAGCGGCCAGTGTTAGTTGCATAAAGATAGCGAATAAATAAATAATATGTATGCGAAAAGAATGGACCAAATATGTAATATGTAAAATGTATGGAAAATCGATAGACTGGATTGTAAGGCAGTAAAATAGGAACTCAGCAAAAAAGCAAAACGTCTAGCCATTATAGATTTTCTTAAAGAAAGAGTATGTCCATTTCAGACTTCTTTGTCAGCCCTAATATATGGAAGCATGTGTGTACATTAGGGTGCCCATCGAAAATGCTTTTTTTTGAAAATTTCAAAACCCTACCACCTAATTTTGTTCGTTTTTATGAGAAATATTATTTGCTATTTTTATAGACTTTTTAGAGGTCATTTAGAGGTCGCGACCTGTCGATTTAGGCCAGAAAATACGATTTTGTAGATTTATGAGTTTTTGAATGACTATTTTTGATTCGATTTCAAAGATCGAATATGGTCTGAGAAGATGATATATATGCCTTTGAAATGGTATATAATAATCTATTGTCGCAGTTGGCTTGTTGTTATTTTTTATCAGGTAAATTAAAAAAAGATTCCTATTTCTCTTAAATTTTAAATTTCGACCATCGATAATTTCTATAATTTCAAAACTAACTAAGCTAGACAAATTTCAACATTTTCATAAAATGGGGTAGTATTTCCTATTCCTGTCCACTTATATATCTTGGCGATTTTATGCAAAATGGACGTAGCTTCCTCAAAATTTGAGAATAGTCTTCCAACAGATAGTAGCTGTAAAGTCACTGACTTATGAAAATGCCCTCGTCCCGTGCCGGGGGAAAAATATTTGTTTAAAATCAATTTTTGTGTCACATATTGGCCAACATAATTCGAGTCCTGGCAATCAATTAACGAAGTCCTCTCTATATGAAAACATTGCCAACTTCATGGATCTGATTCTTCTTATTTCAATAAAATGCCTAGTATATATCGTCGCTCGAATAAAGAAACAGTGTAAATGCCACATACACTATTATTCGATAATTGCACCATTGTATAGACAATCCTTTAATCTATTAGATAAATCTTTAGTTTTCTTAAATATCTCTTTGGCTCACTAATTTTTTCCCGAAAAACTAAATTGTATTTGTATGGTTTGTAATGGTTTATAAAAACTTCCAATTCGTTTTTCTCAAAACTATACTTTTCATGTTACGTTATTTCATTATTCCAGCGACGATATATAATTGAAACAAATTCAGTTTCCGCAAATAAAAATAATATGATTTGCCTTTTCCTTCCAAACATACATAAACACATATATACAGTACCGAACAAAAGTATTAGCACAGTAAATTTTTCGCAATATATACAAAGTTTTTTATTTTAATAACGAATTAGAATTTTTCCAAAGGAAGGATCTGAATAAAAAGTTGCAAATTTATTGAATTTTCCTGAGTTTTGCACAAAGTTTAGAGATTTTATTTTTATGTTTTTTGGTGTAAAATTAACTATATTTTTATAAAAAATTATCGAAGACAAATTAGAATAAAAAACTTTGCATATATTGCGAAAAATTCACTGTGCCAATACTTTTGTTCGTCACTGTACATATATGAATTCAAAAAAATACAATCAATTAGCGCACCCATTCGTACTTGACCCACTTAACTAGACCCAGCTTTGGTCGAACTAAAATTTTGGACGCAAATGTACTTTCCATTTGTTTTGCTTTCACATTACCTTCACACAACTATTTACCAACTGGCAATCGCCAATTAACCATTACAATAACGTATAAACATTTCAAGTTCATGCAGAAAATATTAATTTTTTCATGTATGTACGAAAAAGTCAATCCAATCAATAAATACCAAAACCAATAAAAACAAAAAGGCCTTTAGCAAAAACCCAATAGTCAGTCAATAGCCTTTACTCATTAGCCATCAAAATTTAATCGATAGTGAACAATTAACAATCACCAATCAAATACGCAGATTTGTCAATAAGTAATAAATGCGTAAGCATGATAACCGTTACTCATCGTAAAACTAAAAGCTTTTTGAATACATATATATAGATATACATACATACATTTATATCTATGATTAGTACATACATACTTACACACACATTACATATATGCGCGTGCATACAAACAAACTTGCCCAATACTTACCCAATAAAATGCCGGAAAGCCATAAAAAACGTTTAGTATAATCCATGTTCATCCATAGAAGTATTCCTCGTATGCGCAAAATTTCGTACTTGATTTTTGTCCATGCGCTCTAAAATGTGGCCAAAAGAAAGCGACAGCTGTCGACTTTGTTTATATGGTAAGTGGGTGGGTACATTCACTCTGAGTCCATATTCCAGCTTTAACTCGCTGCTTGAACTTAGACTAATTGAAGCTCTGCGGCATTGACGTGTAGAATCAAGAAAATAATAGAAACGTAGTAGCAATTCACATTGACGGTGTTTTCCAATTTGGCAAGCAAAAGTTATTTTCTCTCACAATCGTTTATTTTTTTCTTTTTTTCTTTTTCGTATTCCAAATACAACTTCGTTAGTGTTACTTTGCGCAGTTGATGGTTAGGTTAATCATAGAAATCGCTGAAATAAATAAAATGAAAAATCTATAAAAAAAAATCGTGCAGAAATGTATGGAAATGTGTTCTTAATTTCTTTCAATGAAGATTGAAAAGCAACAAACAAGTGTAATATAGAATATCTATTTATATAAAATAAATTATCTTCATCATTGCTTAAGGCCCTTTTTGGCAGTCAGAGCTATCACCCGACTTTCGTAAAATCTAGCTAATTTCTGATATCTATGACCTCCAGATACTTAAGTTCCTAAAGGTGTGCTTAGACGATACGTATTTGCATGTTTACATGTTACTTTTTACATATGGAAATGTCAGCATATCGTGTAGAGGAGAATTAGATTTGTTTCTGTACAAAGCAAATGCAAATACATAAGAAATAGAAATGTTCATATTTTCATCTGACACACACATAGAATCGTCTGGGTTTAGTTTATTTCATTTTCAAAGAACGTATTTTTAAATAGCTAAACAAAGACTGGGAATTTGACAGGCAGATGCAATTGCTCATGTATCGAAAAAGTCACATTTACGGATGCAAATACATATCGTGTAAGTACACTTTAAATAAGTAGAAGTTAAGAAGTATTTGCCTGGTGTTTTAGCCTTATATAATATACATTCCTCACCATTTCACATACCCAAAGTATTTAGTTTGGAAATTACTTTGAAAAGCGTTGCCACCTGTTAGAAAAGTTGAATTTAATTACATTATGCACAAGTTATATGAGAGATTAAAATATGAGTGTCAAACGAAACTGTGGTAAAGGATCCTTAGTACATTTTCGAGGGCTGCCCCCAGTTTAAAAAGTTAAATTCAAATTATCTTATAAGGTAAATGAATTAAACAAATATAGGTGTCAATCGAAATGAGTTTGGAAAGGCTTTATTTATGAACAATATTTAGATGGGTTGTCACGTATTTGAAAAAAAAAAAATCAACTTAATCCATCAGTTAATTAAAGTTTGTATCTTAATGTCAGTCGAAATAGATTTAAGAAGATTTACACTTAAAAACAGTTTTGAAAAGAGTTGCCATCTTTTTTAATAATCCAATTTAGTTAACTTATACACAATAAATGATACTTTTAAATATGAGTGTTAAACAAAGGAGCTTTTTGAAAGCTTTAATTTAAAAATAATTTTGACTAGGGTTGCCACCTACTCCAAAAATCACATCTAGTTAACTATGTAATGTATACATAAAACAGTAAAACAGAACAGATACGAAATTCGCATCAATTGAATGATAAACCAAAAAATATAAAAATGCAAAAGCAAAAAGATGAAACACCAAATTTTGCCATTCTGATTCTTGCTGATAATTATGTGCTAGAAAAATTAGGAAACAAAGCAACTTTTCCGCCGAGAGCTACTTTTATGACCGTCGGCAGGGGCAAAATTAAAAATAAATCTATTCTTGCCGAATTTCGTCGTTGATTTGGTTGTGTGCAATCTCATATACTGTACTGTGTTTTAATTTTGACAGCGAACTTTCTTCCGACGAAATTCTCTCAGCAAATTGATTTTGTTTATACCTTAAAATCGAATATTTTTTTCATATACAGAATGTTAAAAAGAAAATAAGCATTTTCCAAAGCAAACTCTTTTAACGAGCAAAATTAATTTTTTTTTGAGTAATCATATTTCAAGTAACTCGATTAATCAACGTTTTGAGTAGTCGAAATCTTGATTACTCGAGTTAACCGAACTAACTTGCTCGAGTAATCGCCCTAGTGGCAACACATTTCATACTCTCGCCAAATATTTATGGGCGCGATCTCGATTTACGGATGACAAGCTCCGGATCCCTCCGGCAGTGCTAACGATTGCCATTTTCGCATAAATGTACCATTTTTGGTATATTTTTTTTTTTTTCAAATTTGATAAGTGGCAATCGTGATAACAGTGCTGCTAAAAATGTACCAACACCAGCTCTTACATACTTGCGTATTAACTTTTCATTCCACCCAAGATTTGTACATATTTCCCTTCAGTTCTCGTGTTTACATATAATTCCTCTTTTCTTAAACTGCTTAATATTGCATGTCAGAAAATTACCTAGCCTTTTCAAAATTTTGTAGCCGAGTAGCAGACTCTACCTACGTTTTTTTGCAATTATAAACTAATATTTTGAACAAATTAGCTGGTGGGTGCTCGTGTATATATTCTGTAAAAGAAGTAAGTAGGTGTTTAATTGCAGTAACCAGAAGCGTTAGTAGAGATATTTGAATAAAGTATTATTCTGGCGCATGCACCTAAAGTGCCCGAAATGGTGCGCTTCAATTACAAGTATCGACAGGTGTGTATGCATTTGCTCCTTTAAAGGTAATAAAAAGGTGTTTCAATTATAGCAGCAATTTAAAAAAAAAGGTAAGTTGAAGTAAAATCTAAATGGCTCTACACTCAGGTGTTTTAGTTCTTTTTACTCATTCATAAGATATTTCTTGCTGATGGCGCTGTGATTTTAAATTCTTAATACCCTTGAATTTAGAAATATTTGATAGGGCGAATTTCCATTGGATCGCAAAATGAACATCAGCTGTACATCTGCTAATAGTTGACTAGGTTTAAGTAGACCTTTTCCAAATAATTTACATTCTCCTTATAACCACGCAACAACTGATTTCATTAATATAAATGAAGATACCAATTATATCTGAATTTCCAGTAGATGCCTTGCCTTGACTCTACAGCTTAACAAAGGCCTCTAACCGAACATTTCTGGTGCAATAATTCAAAATTGGTGAATACTTATTTGAGAAAGTTGGTGCGAAATGCACAAATGCGGGTAAATATTTTTTTTTTTTAATTCAATTATAAAATTTTTTTTTAATTTTACATAACTGACTGCTGACTCAACATCAAGTTTAGCAGCGTAGGCATAACAAAAAATGCATCTGCGCCTAATTCTTTTTTAATTTATTCGTCTGGCAACCATACCTACATACATTTTAATGTAAACAAGTGCAAAGTCATGTTGCAAATTATCTGCTGCAAAATCTTGAACATTTCCTAAGAAATAAGATGACACCAAGTGGGATTTTGTGTTTGTAATTTAATTAAATTTGTTGTGCACTTGACTTATGCAGATGAAGTAAACGAAAAGAAAAAATACAAAGTGCAAGAATATTATTTTGCCCACTCCAAATATGCGTATAATTTTTCTTAACTGTATGAGTCATCTGCAATTCTCACACAGTCTAATGAGTAGGTGCACTTACGGCTAAAGATGCCAGATCGCAAAAATTTATATCGATTTTTTGGTCTAAATCACAAGAATAATCTTCAAAAGCCAGTCGGTATCACAATCGTGAAAGAAGACAAATAGTGAAATAAAAACGTTATTTTAAACTAGTAATTTTTAGCAAAAAAAAAACCGACTTCAACTCCCATATAAAAAAAAAATATATATATATATATCTCATGATCCGCTGATCGGATCTTAACGAGATTAGTATGGGACCACCTCTGAGACACTACCTTTCCGATGCAAAAAGTCCAAAGTTATGCGGTAACATACATAAAAAAAAAAAAAAAAATATATATTCCGACGAACTGATAACCTCCTCCTTTTTTGGAAGTCGGTTAAAAACGTTCACATTTTGGGAATAACTTTCACTCTTTAAAACTTTAGAGAAAATATTTTTTTTTACATAAAACAAAAGCCATTAGTCAAACAAAAAAAAAATAGCAAAGGCAAATGAACAACTAATAGTCAAATTTAACTGGCTTTCAAAAAGTGCCTGAAATTGCGGTCGTTCAATAATTATTGATAATAATTATAATAAAATAATTATAATTAAAAAATTGGTTGGAACACGATATGAGCTGTCCTGTCGTATACGTTACATTGACCACGAACAATTACTGAATCGCACAGGTTTCTTACATTGATAATAGACACGAGATAGCAGAAAATTTTGTAATTAAACTTACAGGGGAGATAGCTGGAATCTGGAGTTATATATTTATAAGCTCCTATATTAAGTCTATCTTTAAAAATCTCTTTAAATCAGGGCTTCGGTGCGGAGCGGAGCAAAGGATTTCAGCTGGAGCGGAGCTGAAGCTCCTTAAGGAAAAATTTTCACTATTTTGTTTTTGTTATTTTCTAGACTAGTAACGATTTATGTATTTTGAAATATTTTTATTGTCGTTTTCCACAAGAATAAAAAAAAAAATCAGTTAATAAATTTACTCATATTTTGCGTATTCTTGTTTTCGTACGAATCGAAAATCATGAAATTTTCTTATCATTTTTTATAAAAAGATTTCAAGAAAAATTTCGCCTACGCTTTTTGGCGGTTACGGCTCATATGTAAATAAATAAAATTTATTGGGAGCGGGAGTGGAGCTCGGAGCGAAACAAAATACCAGCACGGTGCTAGAGTGGAGCGATGAAAAAATCAATTTCTTCGAAGCCCTGCTTTAAATCATTCTTAAAATCAGACTGAGTACCTGTATTGCTAGATTTCAGGAAGAAATTTTGGATGAAATTTCGTGCTATATGAGGCTAGAATAGTGGCAGAGTAATTGAGTAGAACTCCATCTGGTCACTTTAACAGCCACGGTTATGGCGCTTGTGATGTGTGTTGAGAGCACACAACTAAACCATCAGTGCATGCATAGTTTTTAGTAGGAAATCTGACGAAGATGTTATAGATGTTTATGCATCCATTAAATAGGAGGATGCACTGTGGCCTAACGGATCTGTTTCACCCCCTTATTTGGACAACACTTTGTCCAAACCCACATTCGCCACAAAGATTAGAATAGCTTTTAGAGGTTGGGAGTTTCTCTGCTCATCTGTTGGCCATATTGGGCCACCAACATTTTCTGGTCGTTTTTGGACCTACTAAAAAAAATTCTGGGGCTTTGAGCAACTTTGAACATTCTTGAATAGGCTGTATCCCTCTATTTCTTTGTGACCTGCAACTTAAGTCCGTAGTTTCTAGGTGTAGACCTGAAAAGTTAAGAAGGAATTGAGTACCACCTGGCCGTTACTAA